TTTGTTATTTATTAAAAATTTATCAAGATGATGGAAGATATGCAAGAAGAGGTTAGTAAACATTTCTTGAACTTCGTTCATTAATTTTCAAGTGTGAAATACATTTGTTTCATGTAATAATTATCTATACAAAACTTATTCTTGCAGTATATAAATTATTAGTAGCGTTTAGTTCAAGAATATTATAACTTAATATAATTCTATTTATTTGTCATTATTTCAGACCCAGTTTGTGGTAGACGATGTCAGCAAAATCATCAAGGAAGTAATTGAAGTGTCTATTGGTGGAAATGCTTATCAACATAATAAAGTAAATCAATGGACATCTAATGTCGTTGAAGCATGCTTGGGAAATCTTACAAAATTACAAAAGCCTTATAAATATATAGGTGAGATTTTATTTAATGAAATATTATTAAATTTCTATTGTTATTTCTTTGTTCAATATTAATGAAAATGCTTTCAGTAAATTGTGTTATTATGCAAAAGAATGGTGCTGGTTTGCACACTGCAAGCTCCTGTTTTTGGGATAATGCTACTGATGGTAGCTGTACCGTTCGTTGGGAAAACAAGACAATGTATTGTATTGTCTCAGTGTTTGGTCTAGCAATTTAATTTAATTTACTACTTAAAATACATTTTCATAAAGGAAAAAGAATGAAAGACAAGTAATTTCATTCAGCTTTAATAGTACTTTTTTTAATGTCAATATTATGTACTATTAATATTGCAAATACAATATTTCCCTTTGCACATTAAAAATTATATTTACTATTCAAAACGTTTCATTTATACATATTTAAGTACATGTACAAATTAATTATAATTAAGCATTTATATTAAAGACGTTTATTTTTGTTATCAGATAATTTTCGTACAAATCATGTTATTTATTATATATATTTAAGGTTTACAAAAAGATGTTGATACATTTTAAATCTTATAGAATACTGCTACTATATACTATTATAGTACTATTTATGGCTACTATATCAATGTTTATGATATGAACATAAAATACATTTATTGTATTTTTTTAATACTAGAATTAAATAAATTATTGTAATCAAAATTATAATTATTCGTTTCTATCTAATTCTAACAGGAAATTATCTTCAGTTGACATCAACATCATGTTAATATTTAAAGTGTCGCCGAATTCGTCATCTATATATAAATCTTCAACGGTATTGTCTGGAAGATCCTGTGAGAAAATAATTGTATGCAAAGTAAAAAAAAAATCTGTATTTAATATCTAAAATATTATTATAAATTTAATATCTAAATCTAAACCAGACCAGTTTAGATTTATCAGCTTGATATATTTATTACTAATAAGAAATTAATCCATGATTAAATGCTTACCCCTCTGCGTATAGGTAGCTTGCCCAGCGCTGAGTTATTGAATAGACTTAATTGACTCAACGCCGCAGGCAAAGAACGTCGCCTTGGTAAAGAACTTTGGCAACACGAATTGCAATTTTTAGCCTTTGCCGTGTCGTTCAGGAATAATAAATCAAGATTCGTTTCTATGGATTTTTTTTCACTTCTCTCTGGACGTTTTTGTCTCATAAAGCTACTTGGTTCAATTTTTGAGGAACTATATACATTTTCCGAGGATTTTTCTAAATCTTTCTCTTTGGTACGTACTTTCTCATACGTCTTGTCTGCTTTTATATCGTTAGAAGAGTTATTTAATTCGCTCGACACTTCAAGGATGGACTCGCAAACAAAATTTCGGGTGAACGTTGCATTGGGTGAATGCGTCTGACTTTCATTGTTGGTGTTGACATTAACATCGGTTTCAGGTTTCCTTACTATTTCATCATCGTCTGTTGTCATTTTGCTACTAGCCTCCGTTCTAAATAAAAACTCATCATCCGGCGTTGTCTTCTCAATAGTTTTAATTTCTTCATTATCGTCGTAGTTTTGCAAATTGTACAGATCTTCGAACATGGCTCGGGAAGCTGGACTGTCATTTAAAGAGACTTCAAAGTTCTCGTGATTTTTGAATGGGGATAGACAAGATACATCAGAATTCGGAGACGCACTTCGTACAATGTTTGTAGCACGATCTAAAGCGTCCTTTAGGACTTGTAAATTAGTATCCGTGGAAATGTCTATATCTTCGGACCCTGCTGTACATCCTTCGCGGTTGGTTTCTGCTTCTATAGTTAATCATTTGATTATTAATATTTGTAAAGGCTATATTTTTTACCGTCTATATATAATTAATTATTATATAATATATATTAGTTATTAACGAAAAACACTGGCCAACGAGAGGTGACGGTGCGAGAGAGAGAGTCCGCAGCACGAGGCTTTGACAGATGGTCGGGACGGATTCGAGCCGCGTTCGAAGTATTGAACAAATCACGAAGCGAGAACTTTCCGGATTTTTTTTTTACTACGTAACAGTGATATTTTTAAGAAAAACACTGTTCACCTTTACTTTAGAACGTCTGAAGAATATTTACTAATTTTTCGGACCCGAAATAATAAGTAATTTAACCGTGACGGCCGTTTTAATTTTCTAGTGTGCATGACACCTCGCGTGTAACATGAAATTTTTAAGCAAGGCGTACAGTGAAGATTAACAAAGTACGTAAATGATATTTTAATTTAAATAATTCCGTGTCCGAACACAGTTCAACGAATGATTTAAAGGTCATGTCAAGGTCATGTCAAGGACATCTCAAGGTTATGTCAAGGTCATATCAAGGTCATGTCAAGGTTATTGATAATATTCTTCATATTTCTCTAACAAACATATCCCTTACGTTCTTTAACACGATTATTATTTATTAAATTAGCTTTGCGAATCATTCGTTAAACTGTGTTCGGACACGGAATT